GGGGTTCAATCTCCGGGACTACCCCGCCCCTATGGAACAAGTCACATCATTTCTGCCATGTTTGTTAGAAGCAAGTCACTAAGTATAGCTTCTACTCAAGGGAGGGGTTTTAGTCTCCTCTGTTTGAAGAGAGGAGTATCAAAGAATGTGAGAACATATTTTTAAACCACTGCAGCGTCTAATGTCCTCAATGAGGTCAAATGCTTTCTGTAATCGTGTGACTCCTCCTCTCTTTTATTCTACTTTAAAAAGATGTTGAGCTGAATCTAATATGTTTCTGTCCACGTAGTGAGAGGTTTAGTTGGGTCCCATTGTTATTATTTCTGAGATGGGAGTCTCTTTATGTTGCGCAGGCTGGTGTCATTCTTGCAATCCTCTTGCTCAGCCTCCCAGAGTGCTGGGATTCATTACAGGCATACACCACCACTTCCAGTTTGCCTCAGCCTCTAGGCTAGCTGGTGACAGTGTCTTGGTGCTGCTGTGCCTAGCTGGTTCTCATTCTTTATTCCCTGAGACCTAGGACTGAGTGTGAGATCAGGTGTACTAGAGGCTGAATTTTTGGTGTATGCTAGGCACACACTCTACCATGGAGTTATGTTCCCAGTTTAACGTACCTGGGAACTGGGAATCGAACTCATGATCTCAGGCTTGCCAGGCAGGCGTTTATGCCGCTGAGCTATATCCCTGGCCCTACCTGGGAATCTTATAGGCATGGTCTTGAACCTACAGATACCTGTTCCATAGCCTGGTCTCCCGGAAGATTGCCTTGTGGGCTTCCTCTGTCCATTGGTTTTCCTTCTCTGGTCTGGCCCCAGTGAAATGGATGGCTAAGGGTCCAGATGCACAGCTGTTAGCAGCTGAGACAGCAGCTGACTCACAGCCTCCAGGAGCAGCACCTTCAGGATCTTCAGCACATTGGAACAGGGATGATTGTCTTTTCCGGAAACTTCCAGCCAATGACCGGGCACAACTAGGTCACTAGGGCCTGGCTGTTTTCCCCAGCTGGAACTCCTCTATGGGAAATCAGTCCTGGAGCTGCCCATTGGCTGGCTGACACTTTTTCAGAGTGGCACTGCAATATGAGACTTCTCTTACCCAACCTCCTTTCCTTCTCTCTCCTCCCATAAATGTCAGCACTGAAACATGGTCTGAAGGTTTTCCCTACCCAGTCCTGCTTCCTCTCCTTTTATCTTTCACAGGCATTCCCTCAATAAATCTCTTGCACTTCTAACGCTATTTTGGCGATAGCTTTCTGAAGGACCCAAGCAACACTAGCCCCACCAGAGCTCTCCCAGGCTGCCAAGACCCCATTCTCCAGGAGATGAATTTCCTTGCTGCCCCTCTCCATGGGCCAGTAAGCTCTGTTCCCCACCCTCCTCTCATGAGCACACTCCCCCAAGTCCCACCCTGTGCCTGGTGCATAGTAAACTCAGTATCTATTTGTTTTTGAATGAACACAGCATGCTCTGGAGCTAGGGACTGCCCATCCCATCCTCCCAGCACAGGGAGTCTTCCGGGTAAGGCTGGGAGTGCCAGCTCCAAAGGCCACAGGGAAGGTCTGCTCTAGGCCAGTGGAAAAGGTGGGCCCCTGAAATGGGGAGGCTGGGAGAAGAGACACATGTGCCGTGCCCTGAGGAAGTGTACCACATGCCAGGAGAAGTCAGACCTGGTTTCTCTCTTGATTTGCTGGGTGACTCTCAGCAAGGCATCCCGCTTCCTGGGCCTCCCTCCCTCCATCTCGGTTATGGATGCGCCCCCTCCACCTGACTCCCTAGGAAGGGGCAGGGATTGTGAGCCTTAGACGAGGTCAGGGGTGCAGAAATGTAAATGGGTGGGTGGGGCTCGCTGCAGGTTCTCTGTGCTCCTGGGCCTACTGTCACTATGGGGGGTGGGCGCAGATAAAGAAAAAGGAAGGAGGAGAATTAGGAGGGAGAAGCCGAAACACAAAAGGAGAGCCAGAAATACAAATACACACACACAAGAAGCAAAGGACTGGGAGAAAAGAGAGAAGAGAATGTGAAATAGAAAGAGAGAGAGAGAGAGAGAGAGAGAGA